ACACTTGTAGCAGTAACCATAATAATCTTAAAATTCAGAGCAATTGTGATGAGAGCTTATACAGTATACATTACACCTCATGTTGGCAGGTCAGTTTTTGAACATGAAGGATGACAGTTACCTGCTTCCCATAGATGTTATATCCTCAAAATGTAAAATGTTTCCTCAACAACACAGAGTGTACTTTGATACTATGAGTTACTTTGTAGTTGCCAGCTGTGATGTACACAGACCTATTGAAAAAACATGGGACTCTAGCCAGCAGAGAATCCCATTGCTGCAGGACATTCCCAGATAACCGTTTGTTGCTGAGAGCAAGTGGATTTTCTGCAAAGGAAAGTGTAGCTACACAGAATAGAAGAGTGTTGTTTATAGACTGTGCATAATGGTGGTTGAGCTCACTGGACCCTAGGAAACACTGAAATAAGAGGGTGATAAGCAGCAAGTCCAGAGAACAAAATGGTCCCTTTCAGGAGGCTTTAGTTGGCTCTAAAATTCGGGGTGAGAGCACCTGCTGTGATATCCTTTAAGCACAGAGTGGTGTTCTGCTACAAAGCCCATCGGCAGAACTGAACGCTCAGATTGCGCTAACATTCGTCCACCAGTCCCCGCCAACACATAAGCTGGGTGAGGTGGGGATCTACAGCCTGTTCTAGAAGAATGCGTTTCTAGTCTTGTCAAAATCTTCATCCTCTTGTTCAGCGGCTCCCCAGGGCTGGTTAAGAAGCATCTCCCCACACCAAAATATCATCCAGGGAACGAGCCGATCAGACGAATGGTTCAACATGTTCTCTTCAGAAATGTTAATAGACAGCAGCTGTCTGCTTTTGTTCAAGTGCTTCAAGTGGCTGCTGTTTTTAAAGACTTGAGAATCCAAAAGGCCTTCCCCCCCACCCTACCCCACCTCTAAATTAAAACATATTTTGCAGGTTTTCATTTTGTCACTGGCAGTAAAGAATCGCAGGCCGTTATAACTAACAGATGAAGTTCAGTGTCTTTTTTTCCACCCTTAGATTTACTCTGTCATTAAACGTTTTTTTTCCCCCCACAAATCGGCCATCTCCCGCTGTCAAAGAACATCGCGAGATACACAGACCTTCACACAAAACGTGCAAAAAAACAGCCAGGCCATGTGACTTTTGACCAATTAAGATGTTTTGATCTCAACTTGTGTTGCTCATTTATGCTGCATCTAAAATCAGAGACAGACAAATAGAGGGTTCTGAGGGATCAGTGACAGTTTAAGTGGGAGCTCCTAGTTCACCACAAAACCTTACAATATACAAATTTCATACTTTGTTTTGCTGATGTAAACCAAGCCCAAGCCCTAATTTAGAGGAATTACAGAGGCAAAGGGCAGAAATTACAGACTCCGATCCTAATTGCCCCATGACTCCACGAAGGTCTGCAATAGCCACAGCATGGGGCTGGTGGAAAATGTCTTGTTTGGGATCCTCACCCACGTCACAGCAGAGATGACAGATGGAACGAAAGCAAAAATACACCGATATGTCACTGAACTAGAGCTGCCCCTTCGAGAAGAGGTTTCTCTCCGAGATCTTGCCTGGGAACCAGGTTAAAGATAGTGCGCTGCATCAACTGAATGGCACCATTCCACCAGTTCCTATTAGTATGGCGTGACCTTAGATCCACAGCTATGCTTCCTTACTTAAATATCTACTCTTTAAACCCACCTGCCTGCTCTATGCCGCTGGAGTTTACAGGGCAGAACGCTCCATGTGTCTTGACAACAAAGATCTTGGCTAACATTTCATTGCAAGGGCTAAGTACTGCAGCTGCCCAGCCCCTTGGTACTAAACAGCAAAACAGATCCGTCTGCCATTATGCTGCTGTCATGAAAGGTTTTAATATCAATATATGCACATACAAATCTTGCCAAAGAAGCTTCTGAAGTTGGATATCTTCATATTTACTGCTGCCAAAAGGGAGCTCCACATGAGGCATGCGGAGAGTGTAAAGTTACAAAAACAGATCACAGTTTCTGGGGTACTATAGCTGCAACATCCCCACATTAATGGTATAGTTCCTATAAAGTCAATGTAATACAAAAGCATTGTAGTTTAAGAAATGCTGTATACGTCTAGACCCTAGATCATCCAATCATATGAATATTTAACGGGGTTGGGAATAAGATTTTTCAACTACAGGCTTGTGTGGGGATACATCATTTTCACATGGCATCTAAATATACCCTCCCCCAACAAGAACTGAGACATCCGTTTTTAATAAAGGAGTGGTATGACTTTGCATATGCCCTTGAAGATTGGTTCTTCAGAAGGTCAGTGGGTTTGCATTCATGGGCTGGCCAAAGCAGAGATTCAGTTAATTTAGTCAAGACTAAGGAACCCCCCCCAACACACCACCTTCCTCAGCCCTGACTAAACACAGTAACGATGTGAAGCGATCGGAAGGTGTTTAACGAAAACGGACACATCCCCCCAGGGACCCCCCAGCAGGAGTTACATAAGTGGATTAAGCAGCATGTCAGCGCACCACAGAAAGAGCAGCAGGTCTCTTCCTCTTGCACAACCCGCAGGCTCATTACTGTGGGAGGCCAAGCCCGCAGATGAGCACAGGCGCAGATGAGCACAGGGATGAGGGCACCTAATTAGCCCTCTCTAGCTCACACAAAGCTCACCTTTGGCATCCAGCACAGACCAGGGACGTGCAGTGCAGCTTCTTGCTTCAAAATGAACCAAACGTTTTTGTTTATCACCGGTTATATTGATATTCTTTCCACTTGCATTTGCAAGTGACAACAATGACTACCACAATGCTGGTGTTATTAGCCATGCTGTACAAAGCATTGTGTTACAGTCACTCCGTTACAGCTTTCAAAATAACACCTTGACTCTAAACCTCTGCTTCCTATTTCCCATTTCTGAATCGGAACCCAATTTTTCATAATTCAGTTACTTTACTCCAAAAACCCACAGAATATTTTCAGGAACTTCAAAAAATGACTAAGTTTGTATTACTTTCATTAACAATGATACAGATTTTCCTTCAAACTTACAAATTTGAGATTTTTTTCCAAGCCAAACTGTTTTGATGTGTGCAGCATCCACTCTCAAGACCAATCTGCTGACCTCATGTCGAAGTTCTGCACAGACCTGTAGACATCAGGCCTTTCACAATCCCACAGAAACTTCAGATTATTCACCTTGGCTGTCTATGTACTGTCTGTGGACAGAGTCTTGGGGTATACAGATTGGGACTACATGGTGTCTCTCAGTGAGCGAGAGTACCATGCTCTGTATAAGAACTATAATCAATCTATTACTAACTCCTAGATGCTTTTCCAGTTATAACACTCTCACCCATGCTAGAGCAGTTCTGTAAATGGCCTAAAGTTTTAAAAAAACTTTTTCAAATGCTCTATACAAAGTTTGGATCATTTTTTTTTTTAATGCACAATTACACCATGGGGAAAAACTAGACCCCTCTTCTGAAAGCCGCTGATAGCAAAGCCTTGCTTTCAACATATAGAGAAGACATTGGGGTTTAGTACCTTGTAAGCATAAAACCTTCCATTCTGACCTTCCCATTTCAATTCTGTGCAATCAGCAGTTTGAAGAAAACAATCAGATCATCTTAAGGCAGAATGAAAGTTTCAATAAAGAGTCCTATGAAAAGGACTGGGGATTTCTAAGCAAACAATGGTATCGCAGTGGGTTTTTAAGTACTGTGACCAGTTCACAGTACTGTAATTTCCACACTGCCTTAACAGTGTTCTGGAGGCAAAACACATTCTGCAGCCTTGCAGATTGGTCTGGTTTGCAGAATGAGAAACTAACCTCGACCCCTGCCTCCCACGTGCACAATAGCCTATAAGACTGATTTATAATATGCACTGCATATGAGATAACAGAAGACCCTCTGTAGCACAAGGTCTACTACCTTGAGAAACATCAACAGCAGCACAAAAAATATTTAGTGGCATCACATGAGAAACTAGACATTTCCATTGCTGATCACAGGGCTGATTTACTTATCGGAACAACAGCAGCCCGAAACTTCAATGTTCTAGATTCAAACTAACAAAACTAAAGCACAAAGCAAAAACGTAAAGCACAGCTGCGCATTTACTGCTAGAACCTTTTCTGCCTCCACATGGGCAGCTTTGGATTAGAATCATTCCATACCTTTTCTCTGTGGCTACATACACTGGAAAGCCATGCACAATGAGCATTGAAGAATGTGACTCTAACTGTACCTAATGTACCTACTGTACCAGAACAGTAAAAACTGGGGAACAATTTAAGTAGGGCAGCCAGTGGTGTGCATCATCCCAACATCTTTGATGAACTTTCTAACAACTAGAACTTGGGGACTAAAATGCAATTCCAAAATGAACTCAGCTTAGCCTTGCTCTGTGGCCCAAGGATGGCTGATTCTCCACTCACATCCCTACCCCACTGCTAATGTTTCCCTCTTGCAGAGGCCAGACAGTCTACTGAGCTACAGCACCAGAGGCCACTTAAGGCCAACACCAGACAAAATTAATGTGATATTACACCTCAAGGGACGATATCTGACAAAACTTGGAAAAACAGAAAGGCAAAAATAAAATAAAACCCTTTCAGAGAAGCAGGCAAAATACACTTCTCCTTCTTCAAGAGGAACGGCGTTAAAAGAGATCTATCAAAACCGTCTCGATAGAATTACCATGACAGCAGCGACCTCTAGTGGAGATCCCCTCTCTTTATTCTTGCCAGAGCCCTCCACCGGTGCTGCAAGACAATCTCTACCTAAGGAACAAAAGGTTTATTCCATGCTGAAAAGAGAAGAAAGAAAACACAACGTTTCAGAAGGCCCCCACGGCCGAAACTTTGCGTTTTCTTTCTTCTCTTTTCATGCATGGAATAAACCTATTACTTGTACCTTTGCAGCCTACACATGCTGATGCAGCTACCCCCCTGAACTACTTCAATCTCTAACTAATACCACTGTTCGCAATTGACAGTCTGCACGTCCTATTGAATGTGGACATGACCTTTTATTCAGAACACAAGTCAGAGTGACACTTGCTCTTCAGGTGCTCCTTAGAGAGAGTGTTTAAAAGCTAAGTTAAGCTAAGTAAGATAAAAGAGAAGCCTGCTTGAGACATTAATGTTATTTTACTTACATTTTGTAATCATAAAAAAGGCAGCATGATAATTGTACAGCAAAGAGATGACAAGTAGGCATCGTCACTGAAACAGTCTCAATCTGAATGGATGTGTTTGTTCAATTCACTAACAACTGTAAGACCCACAAAGTCTTATTCGCAGTATTTCTTTTGTTTGGTGAAGTATGTTACAAAAAAAGTCACAAACTTAATGAAGCAAGCACAACTGAATCAAAAGATGCACAACTCCCAGAAGTTATAATACTTTAAAGAAATATTATTGCTTTCAAGCGAATGAATGGGATTCATTATTTTTGTTAATTACAGTTTTCTATATTTTTAGTAAACCACAGGATAAATATTTGCGCTTGTTTTCTCTCTGAATTCAGGGGACACTAAAGACAATCACCCAATGTACTGTGCTGTGCTGTGCTCACTGCGAGTTAAATATGTACATATACATTGAAAAAAAAACATTGTGGCAGTATAATTAAAAGTGAACAGATGCAGCCTTGCATGAACTCATACACATACATAGTTTGATTTCAAAATACAATAAAGTACAATTTAGTGTTAGTGCAGTAAATATTCTAGAATCGAAGAATCAAAATACAGGAGAAAAACATTGTATAATTACAGTCTTTGTTTTCTTAATTATGTTATAAATACAGTTGACATACTTCTGAAAAAATACTACCTTGTCTTCATGTAGACTTCTAAACTTTTTTAATCCAATGGAAGTGTGCCTTTTTTTTTGCACTCTCATTTAAAATGCATCAGTACAGTTCATTCTGCACCAGTACACCTCTAAAATTTCCCCTCCCGCTTTAGAAATCCAGGTTCAAAGACAATGAGGAAAAAAAAGTCATCATTTGGAAGCTTGCCAGATGATAATACCCAGAATTACCACAACTAAAGAGAGAATCAGCGCCAGGATACACATCTTCTTACGGGACTTTTTCTGAAAGACAAAGGCAGTGCATTTTCAGACTTTTCTCCAGCTCCCCTCCAAAAACCAGAGATAATTTAATGTATTTATAACTGTCATCCTGGAGGGAGGGGATTAGCACATTCCTCACAGTGTGCTTATTTTTCTTTTTTTTTTATAAAGTGAAAGGAATGAAAGGATATTACAAACCAAATCTGTCCATTCTTGCCTGATGTTAACACAGAATCCCACAAACTAGCTCTTCGCAGCATTACTGGGTAGTTCGTTCTGGTGTTTAATCATTTTGATCATTTTGTCATTCCTTGTTATAAATCAGGATAATTTGTGCCCGTTATTAAACGCACCCTCCTCTGTAAAAGGGGAAACATGTAGCCCATGTAACACTGGAGGCACAAACCCATGACGAGTTACAGGGAGTCTTCCGGTTTACAAAGCAGGCAAATCTCACGACTCAATCAATTGCTGCCTTAATTACTCAACATGGCATCATTGTCACTAGCTGATCTATGACAAATATAGATCACCCATCAAATCTATAAGTGGCATAGATTGGTATCCGACATAGCTGTCAGAGGCTCTCTAGGGTCAGGGTAAGAGACCTCTGCTCTGTAGAGGGTTCTGAAAGAGGTCGGACAGAATGAGCCGATAGTTCACTTCAGTACCAATTCCTCTGTGTCCTGCCTTTCACCTCCAGGCTCATGTGACTCCTACTGTAAATCATGTTAGGTGATGTAGTCTCAGAAGCAAATAAAGGTCTAAACTGAGACCACAGCAGTACAGACCTGCAAGTATAGCTAGACCTGCAAACGTAAGGGCAAAAGCTTCATTCTGAAGCCTTAAGATAAAAATATTTGTCACATTGCTGCAGTTCACATTATACAGGAAGTGGTAGAGAATGAAAAAAAACCTGAACAACTGTTTGATTTGAGGCCTACTGGTGCCGCATCAGTAACTTTCTAGATGCCAGTAAGATAGGGTATTGGGGTCTGTAATCTTCTCAGACTTTTCCCCATTTAAAAATGCCGGGCCAGACAGCAAGCCAAACTAACATCTCTTTCACACGGTTACCGATATAGGTTTCCTTAAAAAGAAACAAGTGTACAACCTAAGCACCATACCAGCATGGGCACATGATTACTCATGCAATGCATTAACTGCATGGCTGCAACAGTCTCTCACCTGGTAATGCGATGCCTGGTGTAGCTGATCAGTACCCCGCTCGACAAGGACCTCAGCACTCTCCACATTCGCCTCAATGCTGTCTGTGAATCAGGAAGCAGAAAGACGTCACTGGCAATGATCCGTAGCAGATGGAAAATCACACGGGGAATTTCTGTAGTCGTCATCAAAGCTCTGCGACAATATGATCATAGGGCTGGAGATTTCTGGGAAGGCATCAGAATGGCACAGAATGATAAAGCTGAAGAACAGGGAAACCTGTATTGAATTTCCAGCAATTTATGAGTCGAAAGGAAAGCGATCCAGCCTTGTTCACTTCTTTGTATCCGAGTAATCGCCTATAAGGGATGTAAAAGCAAAATTCCGGTACAGTTAATCCTTTGTAACGCTTTGTGCCAACACCAAAATGAAGTCCAGTGCAGTTCAGATAATAACTCACAATGCATTTTGACGGCTATATTATTCCTGTTTTGTCCATTTATTCAGATTCTGACATCAAAGACCCTCTATAGTGCTGTGCTTACCTATCATTTCACCCTGGTCATGTATCATTACAGCGAGGTCTTTGAAAATCTGGTTCACATCCATGATGTCCGACTACAACAAAAAAACAAAATAAAGAATAAGGCTCGATCAACTGATATTAAACACTGAATGCAGACATGTGGCACAGACGCAGCTTATGAAAATGTGCATCAGGGCTCCGTTTTTTAAAAATCCACGATTAGGATCGGGCGAATTCTGGATTTTGCTTTGTAGTGGGCCACACACTGGTGGGATGATTAACACAGCTGTCCCACAGCTCCGCTACCCTGGGTTTGACTCGAGCTTGGGTCACCCATGCGTGTGGAGACTGCACATTCTCTCCCGTTTTGTTCCTTCTCCTGGACATCCAGTTTCCCAGCATGCCGAGACGTGCAGATTAACTATGCCTGTCTACGCTGAGCTGTCCCAGTCAGAAAGGGGAATTCATACCTTGGGGGTAATTAGCAACATCGGTCCTGGCTATGGAACAGCTAGAGAAACAGAACCAAATAAGAGCAACGGGTCAAACTGCCTCCTTTCTGATCAGAATGCCTGAAGCAGTAGTGGGAGGTGATCAGAATGTCTGAGCAGTGGTGGGAGGTGATCAGAATGTCTGAGCCAAGGAGGGGAAGGGCGTAGGTTTCGGGGGGTCGCACCTCCAGCTGTCGGATGTTGGTTTCTCTCTCCTTGATGAGCTCCAGGTCCTCCTCGGTGATGGCAGCCTCCTCAGTCTGGTCTTGCGTCTGGCCCCATTCATCATTGCTGGGGGGACAGAGACCGGGGAGCGCAGGCACAGGTGTCAGCATGGAGCCCCCACATACAGGACCCAAGAAAAGACCCTGAGAAGTGTGGGCTAGCACCCACAAATCTCTGTTATCTGACGCTTAGAGAAATAAGGATCCTGCACTCCTCCATGGTTATGAGGCAACTAAAGCAATTAAAATAAATCAACTACTATACCCTCACAGCTCTGGCTCTTACATTACAGTCATTTTTTTGCGACATTCTGGTATCAAATATAAAATAAAACTGTTACAGCCACAGGTTTGGGAAGTTTTTGAAAATAAGGAGTTTCCTTCATCGACTGTTTTGTACGCTGCCATCACACAAGGCTCCATCCGAGCAGGTCAGTGTGTAAAAAATATACAGTACAAGCACACTGTTGACAAGGCAAGACCCTGAAGGTGAGGGAGTTAAAATACGAAACGGCTTTATAGTTCTCAACTTACGTGTCAAATGACACAAGCTGTTCGTCTCGGTTGCTATCTTCAGCCTGCAAAACCAAAAAGCCAAAAGAAAAGCATAAAAAAAAAACAAATAGCTTCAAACTTCAAACTGGAAAAATCATAGGGTTAACAACACTTCTGACCCGCGCTACCAAAACCTGTTAAAAGGAAAAACTGGAGTTCCTGAGGTCCGGACCTGCACAGCGCCGGCCAGGTGACGGCGACACTCGCTGTGCAACCTGACAGCCGGAGAGGCAGTAGGAAGAGACAGTCAGGGCCAGGGGAAGCCCAGAGGAAGAACAACCAGGCCTGAGCGGAGAGCGGCCTGGGCTGAACGTACCGAGAGGCGCGAGCCGGCCCTGGCCCGGGCCACGGACTCCTTCTCCTTCTCCGCGGCGCGCCGCTGGACGGCCTGGAAGTTGTTGAGAGCCGCGGAGAAATCGTTCATCAGCCGCTCCTTCTGGATCTTCTGCTGCCGCTGCAGGGGGGAAGAGGAAGGGTTGAGCGGAGCGGAAGGCGAGACATTTCTCCAGACGTCCGATCAGCCCCATCTTTTTTTTTTGAGGGCCTCTGGACATCCATCTAGTGGTGCCAACCCAGGCGCCATGAATAAAAACACCCCCCACTCACCTGCTCCGAGGGCGACAGGGGCAGCGGCAGTGAGCCTAGGTCTTTCAGGTGTCTGTTGGTCTCCTTGGCCAGCTGGTTCGTATAGTGCTGCAGCTGCTGTCTGCAGAAACAGGCAGATCGAGGGTTACACTGCACAGCTGCTGGCTCGCTCTTCAGGCCCGGCCCTGAGGATCACTCTCATGCCAGTCTACAATCAACAGTGCCAAGAACTGTGTCCGGGGGGGGGGGCGGATAAGATAATAAGATTCTACAAATCTACTCAGACTGTTACTGGAACTCATATGGTGAAGTGCCAGTCAGTGTCCTGTGTTTCTCACGCCAGACGCTTCCTTTATGCCAAGCGCCTGTTCACATCGCCATATTCAAACGAACGAAAATTAAAAGAACAAGCTCTCAACGGCTGGGCGAGTTCAATTATTAGAACTGAAATTCAATTCATAAGTTGAATGGGATTTTGATAAATTCACAAAAGAAGGATGGCTTAGTCTACCAGCAAAATACCCTAATGTGGTCATCTAAGGTTTTCTCTTCCAGCGCAAACCTGAGCCTGATCAAACGGGATGGTTTGGAAAGCACTGCACATCTGAGTTCTCTCTTTAACGGTGTGCGAGTTTGGTCACAAACGTCTGCTGCCCAAGACAGGAGTAATGTAAGAGCTTCAGCACTGCCCAAGGCAGAGACTTACAGTTTGTCCTGCAGTTCACTGGTGTCCTGTCTCGTGCCCAGCTGGTTGACCATGGCTTTGATCTGGCCAGCTGTTGACCACAATAAAAGAGCAGGGATGAATATACAAGAAAAGCTGATAACATACATACTGTACTCATACATCATATATAGAAGAGGTCTCCCATTAAAGTCCAGTCCTGAAAAGCCCCTGTCCAGTTAGTCTCATAGGTCAGCTGACTGGAAACACTGGTAGGTTAAGCCAATAATCTCTTTAATTATAACTGAGGATTGAAGACTGCTGACCATTTTGGTGATCTCTTAATTACTTGATCTGACAAATTACCTGCTTAAAATTATCATTAGGAAAGTATTCCAGGTCTTTAAGAGAAAGTGGAAACAGAAGAACCTTACCAGTCCAAGAAGGTTGCAAATTTACCCTATTAACAGCACACAGCATGCACTAACCACACAGACATATGAAATAGAAACAAATGATAACTGACTTTTCTGCAGAACACGTGTGTGTGTGTGTGTGTGTGTGTGTGTGTGCATTCCAAACAGCGGTATTTCACCACCGACGTGTTAGTGAAGCCTATGGCTCAAATGGATGCACAGGATTAAACACGTTTAGTTATTTATATCCTGGCATGCTGTAACAGTGTGCAGTGCGTAAGCAGTGCACCTGTGAAACACTGGTCTTTTCACCAATCATTTCCCAAGCGTAGATGCTATGCAAACATTTTCAGTGTTTCATAAATACAAAACATCTTCAAAAGAGAGACAATACAGTGCATACACCACTTTCACACCACAGCCACCACTATTTAAAGAAACTCACACTGATGTGCTTCAGCTGAAAACCAATGATCACGAAATTCATGGTTGACAAGCCTCCTGTAACAACAGGTGCTCCAGAACACAGTCATTTCCAATTTCCGGACTACCAGAACATTTCACTTCTGTTTTTTTCACAAATTTAAGCAAATCTTGTTCTGTTATCAAACCAATTTTCACACAGCCGGTAAGGGAACTGCAGAACGCAATATTGTGGGCATCCCCTTGTCAGAAACAACTGAACTGATTGGTGGAAATAAAGCATTTCAAATGTAAATGAAACTATTTTTGAATGCAAGTGTTTTTATTTATTTAGCAAAAAAACTCAGATGAAGGGCAGTAAAAAAAAAAACAGTAAAACAATAAGACAGAATAGAAAAAATTATACCTGTACAATTATTAAAAAGAGAACAAAATACATGAAAAAAGGAACCAAACAATAATTTAAGAAAAAGACTAAAAACGATAAGAAACAATAGCAAACATATACATATGCAAATGTGTACACACACTGGCATGCTAGGAATTATATTTTTTATATTTGCAATGTTTATAATAATCTTTGTTTTGGGTTGGCATTGTGAATAAGGTGGTGAAAAAAAATCATTAGTATGAATACATTCTGGCAAAAACTTTTTCCTTAATCTTTTTCCAATTATCCGGGTGGAGGGAGATGATCATTTCTTGAATTCAGGGTTGCGGGGGAGCCAGAGCCTAACCCAGCATGCAATGGGCACAAGGCAGGACTCACCCTGGAATGGACACCAGTCCAGCACAATGCACACACATACCCAGGCAGACACCAGGGCCAGTTTTCCCGGAAGCCAATTGAGCAGTATGTTGCTGGATTGTGGGAGGAAACTGGAACACCCGGTCAGAAACCATGCAAACACAGGAAGAACGTGCAACTTCCACCGAGACAACACCCCAGGTCCGGAATTCAACGCAGGGCCCCTGCACTGGGAGGCAGCAAATGCAAACTATTGCACCACTATCCTGCTCATGATCTTTACGCCTTTTTGCTTTCTAATGCCCGAGAGCTCCAGAAGTTCTATGCTGAGCTGTGCGGCGTGTCTAAGCCCGACAGCGAGGGGTCGGGTCTGTGGTTCTGCGCCGGCTGACACTCACTGTTCTGCGTGATCTTCTGGATGTTGGAGCTGCATATCTGAATGAGCGTGTTGAAATCGCGTGGCTGCGAGCGGTAGGCGTCTCTGCCGTGTGACATGGTGGTAGAAGGGGGGGGGGCGTGGCGTCAAATGCCCTTCGACAAAGGACCAAGGAGGGGCAGAAGGGACAGGCCGCTCAGCTGCTGCCACCTATGAGAACGTTAAAAAAAAAATAATCAAATAATGATCATCCTACACTTTACCATCAGAACACTTTGGCATGTTTGTCTTTCAATCATTCCTCAGGTACTGCCACAGATGGGACTGTCAGCAGTCAGGATCTACTTATCTACCCATGCCTTTCCCTAGTGTGGAACATGGAAAGGAAAATAAACTGTCAGTGTTGCACAGGGGCTGCAGTCTGACACCGTTCCTCAGCACCTAGCTGCTAATATGCTTCCTCTGCACACTGCTTGGCTATAAGCATTAAGACGCCTTTGCTAAATCTCCAAATACTGAAGCAGTCACTTCCAGTAGAAATGTCAATCGTTGCAGCACAAGGTCATGCAGAAGAAGACATCACAGCCGAAACGCTGCGTTTTCTGTCTTCTCTTTTCAGCATGGAATAAACCTATTACTTGTTCCTTTGCAATAATATTCATACTATGTTAAATACAATTCTTTTTTTTTTCCTCAAAAAGTCACTGCGTTCGGAAACAACACCGCCTTAACGTTGGAACGTTGAAAGGTTTTAACAGGCTCAGATTATATTGGCCCCCGTTCTAATCTGGCCCTCTGGTAACTCTGAAGATTTCCCATTGAAAGGAGCTGCCTCATGTTTTAGTGCAAGAGGAATTTGATATGAACCTGGAGAGCTCAGCAAGGCGTACAGAAATGAATGCGTCTTCTCCTGTCAGCACCTGAAAGAAAATACACATGGCAGTCAATGTGCAATCAAGACTGAAGATACTCAATGGCAACCAAACAGAAGAACAGAAAAACAAATGCACTGGAAAGGGCCTTGAACTCTAAGATTAGGTCATGCGATTGTTCATTTTATAAGTTTGTGTGTTTTTAAACTCAAGACACCTGTCATTACCTGTTTCACAAATTCAAAAGATGAGGGCTGATACAGGAACAGAATGACTCCACTATCAACAGAGTTTCAGGGTTACCGGGTTTAAAAGAGAACAACTCCATAGGCAGTTCACTTCCTCTTGTGTTGTTAAACACTCAAGCCTGGTCTTGAATTAAATAGCAATTAAGTCCCAGTGGGCTACAAACTCATTTGTAACTGCATTCCACTTTCATTTCATTGAAATATTTTTTTAAAATAAATAATACATTTTAATAGATTATATTATGTAATTACACACTTTCAAAATTAATTTTCCTATCACGGTTATTTTAAACGCAAACAGCGCTTAAGATTGAAACAGAAAGTTATGCATGAGATAAACTAGACGATGAAATCGTCTAATCGAACGGCCTGTCATCATTTCTTCGATATTTTTAAACCGCCTCAAACGTTCCTTAGTAGGCGTGGTAGCTATTTATCTCAGATCGTTAACGGCGAGAAAAAAAAAGTAATGAAGCGTCATTTTCAGTACCATTTAAACTTGCCACTAACAAACGCACACAGACTCGGTCTACGAACGACGCCTCTGAGTAAATGTGAAAAGGAAGCCGTGATTTACTGTAGCGTAAAAAAGAGTAAATTTATAGCATGACATTACACAGGTCAGATGCCATTTTAACATTTGCTTAACAAGATAAAAGAGATCAATTTAAGGCTGTTCCCAACACTGTAAATAGGATCGTGCTACATACCTCCGGTACTAGCAACAACAACCTATACCGCTTTTATCCCGGTGTTACCAAACGCCGTTTTCGCTTGTTTGAACTCGGACACAAATTTGCAGGAAGGATGCTTGCTCGCCCCACCGCGCATGCGCGTCGCAGCGATTTGACAAAGGCGCAGTATTTGGCAACTAAGTCGCTCCACCCTGGGCCCTTAAGTTCGGGTGACACGTTACAAAACAAACACGAAACGGTTCTGAAGTGGTTAATATGTATGTGCCCGCACAGTTACGAGTTCATAGAGAAACGTCTCGCTGATATATCGGGGCCTGAAGTATCCATGGACATAAATGCTGCAGCGAGAGATGACCCAGTTTAGGACAACACGTCCGTTTGCCGGACTGTGATGCGAGATGTAGCTAAACTAAGCACACAGTTATTTGCATTATGCTACGAGTGTACAATGCCCTGCGCCTTCCAGAGTGAGTGCCAGTAGTGTTCTACACGGTTTGTGAAAAATATAAGTGCTCAATTTTCTGTCCGTCGAAACAGTTTCGATTTTCCCAAACCGTTTGCAGATCTCTTTTTACGGTAACTAGCACACAGGTCTTCTCCAGCCCTTATCAGGGCCCGTTCACTCTTCACAGCTGCAATTGTTTCTAGCAAACGAGGACAGCCCTGATCGGCCTGACACCAAGAGCGCAGGTTTTGTTTTCAGCGAGATCGCACTTCCCTATTCAGTACAACCATATGTGCAACTGTTCATGAATTTCCTCTGGGACAGTTTTCAAGTTTCGTTTTTTTTTTCATTTAAGCATTAAAAACGTGTTTCTCAAAGTATATTAAATAACCACCGTACGTTACTGCACATTTTCTCTTGTTTACATGCACAGACGATAGAAATCCGGACCGCTGACATCCCTCTCAAGAGAAAAGATTAAGCTAGCCGATTTGCATAGGTGAGCACCGGGCTGGTATAAACAGTCCTAAACCGATTCTTCTCTCCAAAGGCATGCAGTAATTTGATACAATTTAAACTCTTACTTGTCCGTAGAGCTCAGTTTCAGTATGACACTGACAGCTTCCTCTCTGCCTCTCCAGAGCGGTAGACGCTACGTCACAGACCTGACCCTGAGATTGGAAGGTGACGTCATTGAGCCGGCCGGCTATTTCAATTTAACCAGTTAAGGCAAGCAAGTGAAATACAGAAACATGACATCTTTCCGTGGCGGCTCCTATTGCTCCTATTGAGAGGGATTTACCATCCGTCTAGAATGCTATAATTCTGTGGTATAATTCCATAGTGATCCCAATAAAAATAAGGCTTTATGAAGGTTTGCTAGAACCTCATTCGTATCAGATTATACGAACCAACGGACAAATACGCGCCTCACTGACAAATGCAATCATTATTTTTGGAGCTAATGTGTACTTGGATCATGTCAGAAAGCCTGGCTGTTTGTGCAACAGTACAATCCGCTCTCTCCTGGTGTGCAGTACTACGCAAAGGCTACAAAATCCTGCCTTTGCTGTCGAAGAGAGCTACGATGCACCCTTTACATGCTCAAGGAGGATGGAAACAGCACGGATTTCCTGTAACCAGGCCTCTCTTTCAGACCCTGGGCAGAGTTCCAGGTGTCTTGTGACTTTCACAGGGTTCCTAGTAATTGCAAAGACCCTCTCCTCTCCTCACATGATGTCCGAGAGGGGAGGAAACCGGCTGATATGAATGAAAGTGTTGTAGGGTGTAGTAAGATGGCTTTGTCCTTTTATCATCTGCCTACAGGACCTCAGTTTCCTCAATAGGTTTAGCTCATATTCCAGCTACTTCACTCCTTTTTAAAATTTCAAAATCCTTTCAGCCCACCAGAGATCTCAGCCTGCTATAGGCTATTTAAAATGAGCTATTAGAGAAATACAGGGCTATATCTCTGGTCCTTTTTGAAAAAGACTCAAATATTTGACCTGTAGTATTTTGGTTCCTACAGCCATACATGACATGCAAACCAGAATAAAAAGTACAACACAAATTGAATAGTGTTCTAATTGCTAGTATCTTTTTGTTATATCAAACCATTCCGGAATTCCTTCATTGCAGTACAGTACACATTTAGAAATAGCACTGCAATTTAAAGAATGTTAAGCCAACCATTATGCAAAAGGAGACGATACTGATCAATTGAAACATCTTTATTAAAAATATTCGTAGTAAGCAAGACACAATTTAATTATTTTCTTAAGGATCTAAGACATATACATGGGAGTCTTAATTAACATTTCTTTACTGATGCAGCGAATATTGTCCTGTACAGTATATTTATTTGCTCACCTTTTGTGATCAGAATGATACGGTTATCATCACAGAACACTCTACTCTCTTCAGATGCCAAGAACAGAAGAACACAACTACACATTCCACATTCTGGCCTTTAAACTGTTACTGATGCCAATTAAGGAAACAGAGGAATTATAATAATATTATGCCCCTGCCCCATACCCAGATCAGGTCTTTTGGAGAATTTCTCCCATTAGGATATGTGTACTATAATCAGATTTTGGTCTATACTTGAAAAACACATATTACCCCCAAGGAAGAGGTGTAAATTATGCTTATAGATATTACAAAATGACCTACAACAAAATGGACAATGCTCCATATTAAGCTTTATTAACAAGGGTTTTATGTACTAATAACAATCTATTTACAACAAAATGAGGTTCTGTAAAATGTTAATATTGTCTATATGCACACCTTAATGTTTATACCAAGCCCAATTAAAAAAAAAACACCATTGATTATACATTCTGTAGAACCTCAATTTAAAGTAAATAGATTATTAATATCCATTAAACATTAACTTACAGAACACACTCTAAAGAGTAATCTAAACATATCAAGACCAACCAACAGGATGAGACTGAAATTCAACACCATGCGCAGGACATAAATTAGTTCAATTTTTTAACTGTACAAAAAGAACAGCGTTGATCATGATCAACTAAGCTCAACCTTTAAGAAGAGTGTTACAGCTGAAAAGAGGTCTAGCTGAAGGCAGTCACGCAGTCTAGACACAGGAAGAGTAAATGAAAATGTTGCTTGTGTCTCTCCCAACCAATGTGCTTGTGACTATGCCAGCACTGAACCAGAGAATCAAGAACATAAGACAGTGCCAGTAAGACACAAACAAGAATTTGTTTTCGTGCAGAGGAATACTCTGTTAAAATGGTTCTCCACTTTCTCATGAAATCACTCATTCCTGTTTATCTAGGACAATAAGTAAAACCCTTCCTTGACCAGTCAGTATATAAGGAATCCCTTGCTCCTTTATGCTTAAAGCAACACATACACAACACATGAATTCTGAAACATCTACATAAGTACAATGTACTTCTACATTGCAATATTTTTTTTAACAGTGGTTGGGACTGTATCTCTAAAAAAAGAAATTCAGATACCACAGTAAGCGGTGCTGTGGTTTCAATCTAAAGACCTAAAGATGTTAAAAAAAAAACACCTTCCTCTTTCGATATGTAACTATGTCAACAAAAGCAGACAAACTGGGATCTGGCATAAGGTCTAACTTTAGAAGCCTCAAAGTCACATTACCGTAGTTTGAAGGGCATCATATAAAGTCATTAACCAGTATCACACAGGTTTTTTCTTAAACAAAACACACTTTAAGCATGAACTGTACCCCCAGGCATCCGTGAAGGACTGTTCTGATGTACTGTTCACCTTTTAGTAATGGACTTGCCCTGTTTCTGCTTAGGTTGTTGAACAAAGAGCAACCTAGCTTTCTGTGTTGTTTCCAGGGGTGTTAATTGATGGTTCTTGCACTTTGCCCGTTAGGCTTGAAGAATGGGCAGTGCAGCTGAAAGGGCCACAACAAATTCAAAGCTGTGCTCTGATAGCATGCATCCCGCACTAGTATGAAACTGGAATTGATGAGGAAGCAGAATCCAGGGGTTGCCAGTGACAGTCCATCAAGGCATCATACAGCTCCTCACTCTGATCCATGAACTGTCTGTTGGCTTCAGCAACATCCATCTGAGGGTTGGGATCTGAAATTTAGAGGCAGGTCATGTGAGACAAAGGGACAACCAGCCTGTGAAACATGAGCAAACTAGCCCGGGGCCTGTATGACTACCTCCCAAATGAAAACCCCCAAAGTACATGATTCTTCAAAAGATCATGACCGCTTTTTAAAAATCTTGCCAGGGTCAAGCTGTTAAAAGAGAATATCCGCTCACACAGAAAGAATTAAAGAGAGCATACCTTCCAGATCGTCATCCTCAATTTCTTCATAAGTCTGAAAGCAAAGAAAAAGGAATGAACTAATGAGAATGTAATGTACAAATTCCACACAAGTCATTCAGAAGCAGTAGGAGAGCTTGTGAGCTCAAACTGAGCTGTGGCAGTGGTGCTACAAAGCAGAATGAGGGGATAAGTTAGGAAGCTTTCCGAGAAAGAAACAAAACTCTTACTCCCATTCCCCATTATATGAAGATAAACAAGTAGCCTACTTGAGTACATCATGAGAGGCTATGATATAAGAACGTACAAATGCTTACAAAAGACATTAGGCCTTTTGGCCTATCTAGTCTGTGTGGTATTTAGATAGTTTTCTTACAAGAGGCCAGACTATTGACTTCATTAACAGTTATGGAGGTATAGAACGACCTACCCACCTCTTTGGGTAAAGAAGTACCACCTGTAAAAATCACCAGTTCTTGTCCTTGTTTTGCAAAACGTAGAGAACACTGATGTCAAGTTGTACTGTACCTGCATGGTGCTCTGAGTGTAGCCATAATGAGGATAGCTGTAGCTGTAGCTGCCCGTGTTTTGGTCATAACCCCATTGTGTGTAGTAGTTGAGGTACTGCTGATAGTATGGGTTATAGCTGCCATAGGAATAAGACTGGTCATAGCAGGCATCCGATGTGATCCCCCTGTTGCTGAAAGAAAAAAGTAATTAATGCAAAAGGGCATTTGCTGGTTAATTGTGACTGCTGACTTGAGCTGAGCATTAGTCCAGAATAAAGGTGTTGAAAGCTGGACAGCTTCTGACCATAAAATCTCCTTAACTTCTCTGACACACCATACAGCACGCAAAGTAAATTCAGAAGCATTTCAAGAAAAAAGTAAAAAAAACATCTTACTGAATGCTAAATCCCTGGATCTGCCTTTCTCCAGGGTATTTATCACGCTCTGAAACACATGATACCACTCTATTAGCCCAACCCTAGTTACTGTCTGGCATGTGGCAGAGAAATATGTCAAACTGAAACTAAAAGGATTTTTAGTCTCCTTGGTTTCAAAATGGCTCTTTTTTAACCGGTAATTACCTGTTCACTTCTCTACAATGATCACAACAGGAAATACATACCATTGCAGATGTATCTCAAAGCTGTATGAGCTATAAGAACACTACAATATTCAGAATTTGTATGACATTCCAAGCTCTTCATTTCATTTTGGACTACAAATACGAGCCACTATGCAAGCCTAAGGAGTTCCTAGCCTGGAGAGCATCGCTCACATTCTACCTGTTACAGGATATTCCAGATTGAAAAAAAGTCATTGGGTTTAGTTTCTTCCCTGGGAACCTTTTTCCATCAGACATGGTAATGTCCATACCTGAGAGAAATATCGCTGTTTTCCCACAACTATCCTTACTGAATGACAACTCTTCACTGCAACTCTCTATTTTACAGAGCAGAATTTGGCTCGCAGGTACTACAGCAGCCAAGAAGATAACGGCTCTGTGCTGGCAATCTTCTGGATCCTTTAGTCTTCTGACAATTTGTTTCTGGGGTTTTCAACGGCCCACAGTGCTGGAATCCAGGCTGTTTGCTTCTTCGAGTCTGAAACTGAAATTACAAATCTTCTACTGAAGTCTTTTCACGTAGTTTCTCAAACTCTTGAGATTTCCCGTTTTGCTAATACTGCTCTTTTATTTCTCTTGTCTTGTACTGGCTACGTTACGAGCCTAGGGCGGTGCGGCCCTCCTGGGTGGGAGTGGAAGGCACAGGGATCCGGGATCGGGACTGGGGCTGGGGTTCAGGGATTCAGTTCGCCACCGGTGGCATGGCGGTGGTCCAGTACCACCTTCCCTCTGTGGCAGGAGGGGTACCGGCTCAGGGAGACATCCTTGTCACAATCTCTGTTTGGCAACGTTACTACACATGAAAAAAAAAAAGTTCACAAAAACAAAACAAAACTCAAGCACTTACGGTTTGCTTACGGCCTGGCTGAGCCGCAAAGGCTTTCCTCCGAGGCCCACAGCCCCCTGGCACTCCTGCAGAACACGTCTCTGTTCCTGCTCGTCCGCAAAATGCACAAACCCGCAGCCCCTGGAATTCATGATCGCCCAGGTCACCTCAGGCACTGCCAGACCATCAAATAACACAGCACCAGAGGGAAACTAGTCTTTCCCTGCTTGAGTACAACACTAACTATACTCAAGACATGATGATTTTGCCCAGTGGTCAAAACTGCAGGTCCCTATGTGCACACATGGGAGTTCTGTTACTAAGGACACAGTCGTAAAACTCAATTTGGCCAAGATATCCCAGGAGCACACTGGGTAACAGTGAAAATGAGAACGGTTTTGCAGGGGGGATTGTGAGAAACAGTCCTCTGTATTCATTCATTTTCTGTCATCAGGCTGGGAGGACACAAAGGTGGGGGCAAAAAGTGATGGAAAGACAATGCCACACAGACTGCTTTCGCAGATGGTACAAAAAATAGAAAAGAGAAAAACAAACTGTCTCCACAGAGCAATTTGTCCACTGTATTTGCCTTTATGTTACATAGATTTTATTGCAGAACCTGGGCAACATTCTAAATTTATTGTTTGCAAAGAGACAGACATTGGTTGTATGTCAAATCGTGGAAAATAAATAAAAGACAGAGATTGCCTTGTCAAAAAAAGCAACAGTGATATGTGAGGAAAGTCTTTCTACAGGTTCTTAAGCATATGAACAAGTAATATAATTCTATTTAGGCTTCTTGGGTGTTCTCCAGAAAACAGTCTTTTTTGTAACAGATGAAAACCCATTTCTGAACTGTGCTGTGGCTTCTTGAATACCCTACATTATTTCTGTCTGTTTTGTTTTTAGACACCTATAGCCTCCTTCACAGATCATTCTACTGTGACCATGTCAGCCAAAGATAAGGGGCACAGTGTGCTGTTGTGGGTTGTGGTGAACAGAAAAAAAAAACTTGTAGAAGTGCATTTAAACTGAGAACCGCAAACCTTTAATGCACAGGCCTGTGAGTTTACTGACAGGTAATTATACCGTTTGCTCATCCAAGTTTGGTTGCTGTGTATTTGGTACCAAATCCTTACCTGGAGTTGCCCAGATGGTCCAGTACCACCTTCGCTCTGTGGCAGGATGAGTAGCGGCTCAGGAAGAATTCATATAGCATCCCATCATCCACTTCGGGGGTCAAATCGCCAACAAACAGTGAGAAGTCAGGGCTGCAGGTGGGACACATGATTCCAGCATTGAGAAAAACAGGCAGCATTCTCTGAGCAAAGTCAGAGTTCAGGCAAACTGCTCTTCTTTTTTGTATGAAGGTGTGAACACATCAGTACAACTAAAAATAAATATGAAACCCTGGTTTAACACTTATTCACACACTATATGCATCTAAGTTTGCAGGTCCTAGTGATTTACAAAGCTTTTTGCGCAACTTTGAAGATGAACATGTCTCTGCAGCTCACAGGGTCTACTTGGTAACATGCAAGAAGCAGCCAAATTCAATCTACAACTTTACCTGTTGTCCATCTGTTTTCCATAGCTCGCCCGGTTTAGCTTGAATCTTTTGGGCTGAAAAACAATGCGCAAATTAAGCAGCGGTAACTTCATGTCCATCATGTCCATCCATCAACTATCAGTCATTTCCATCCAAATATGAAGGCATCTTCATAGAAGTGATAACCATGACACATCACTGAGATGTCCATCAGCCCATGAGGTCAGAGAATAACTGAAACTATCCCTAAATGGGCAATAGCCAGCTATATAGATGAAAGACATAAGGAGATGTCTTTCATACAGATGGAGAAATAAGGATTGAAGTCCCTTGTGAAAGGATACAGCTCCACTGCCTGGAAGAATTAAACTCCCAGACTTCTGATATCAGAAAATCAGATGACCATGAGTCATCACCGGCTGTCTTAAAACTTATCCGACAATGTCAATAGTAAGTTGAAGTCTTACAGGCCTATTCCAGAATCCCTGCAACATTTCACTGATGATATGTGTTCAGGGCTTATTTTTAACTCAGCAATCTGAAGAGCAAAAAAGGCCTTGACTAATATTGGCAAAGAACAGCAGGACGTACAGGTGTGGCTCCAGGGATCGGCTTGCCATTGATTTTAAGCAAACACTTCTCAACTTGCGCTTCATCTCTGAGCTCTATAAAGCAGTAGCCCGCTCCACTTCTGGAAAAACAAAAACGAGAACTGTAAAACCATGAACACACAAGTCAAATATTTCATGGCCCAGTTAATTCAGGGCAGTAGGTCATTGCATGTCATATGACACTAAAACCACTGTTCTTAAAAGGTACTCTTCACAAACAAATAACAATAGCGAGAACTGGTGCTAAAATCCAGGACAGAGAGACAGAGGAAAAGTGGGAGCACAGGATGGTCACAGAAAGCAGACAGCCCAAGGCTAAACAAGAAGACCAGAGAGGGTAAAGACAAACGAATGTGCAGCTCATCACGGGGAAAGAGATACCACTATTTTGCATGTTCCCTTTAGACCCACAAGGGTTAAGAAGATCCAAAATCCAACAGGCTCAAAGAAAGCTCTAAGTGAGCCTCTTTTACTCACATGTGCATTGGACATTTCACATCATGCAAAAGAACCAATCTTAAATATTGACGTATGAAGGAGAAAGGTGCAGGAGAGCTACTTCTAGCTCAGAAAAGTCTTAGCCGGTCTGTACATTGGCCCTTTTTCACAGGCACCGTTAGACGGGCCAAGACTTCCAATGTGATCTTACCCAGTCATCCTGTTGCGGATGATCCTCACCCCAACAATGAGCTCCCCCATGGTGGCAAAGGCACGGGAAATGAACTTCTCATCCATATATGACTCCAGCTGCGCGAAAAGGAGACGTCAGACGACTCACAGAAAGAAAAAAAGAGACACGAACCCACACACAGCCCGACGCCGGTGGAGGCAAAAGTTCAGGCACCCATCTCCTGCAGCAGGAGCAAACTGCCTGACTGCAATCCCTAACACTTCAGGGTCACAGTGCGACAGGGTCACCTCCCGACAAGAAATGGCAACTTGAAATGACTTGCTGCATAAAAGCAATCGATGCAAACAGTTCATTGATCCATTTCCTAAGAGCTTCTTCTAATTCAGGGTCGTGGGGGGGGCAGAGCCTATCCCAGCAAGCAACGAGCATCACAGGACAGACACACACACACTCACACTGGGGCCAGTTTTCCCAGAAGCCAATTAACTGACCAGCATGTCTTTGGACTGTGGGAAGAAACCAGAGCACCCAGAGGAAGCCCACATGAACAAAGGGAGAACATACAAGCTCCACACGAGAGAGCACCCCAGGTCTGGATTCGAACCCAGGATGCCAGCACTGCAATGCTGACCTCTGTGCCACCCTCAAAACAGTTTGTTTATGCAATTGTTTTGGGGGGGAAATCAATTAACACTTTATTTCATTTATAACTAACTAGAGTTATTAATGAATGGAGTAGCAGGAAGTTACAGTTATGAAACAATGTACCCGTGTAAAGCTAGGTAGTTATTTTTTGTCTCTAATAAAAATTCATACATATTAGTTATTTCCCATCTCCCATCTTTAACAAATAAGGCCTATATTGGCCACGTATTAGTTCTTTGGTGTGTTTCTGTAACAAAAACGTAATCCCTACCTTGCAACTAGCCCTTAACAGTAAGCATTTCCATGAACCAATAAATTCGTTTTTAATCGCATTTTTATTTTTTATATTATTACAAGATCTTTTTATCTTGTAAGGATGTTATACTCGTTTACAAAACAGCGGGTTTTGCTGTAGCTTTTTAACTCTTATCCCAGGATATCCTAAATACAGCATGGACTCATCAACGACAGAATAGCGCAACAGAACAATAGCTTACACAATCGCGAAAGTTAAATAAACGTTAAATAGCAACAAAGTAGTCTTTATGAACTGAAAGGCAACAATCAATCAAAACGTAAGCTTAATTATTTGCGATTATTTATTTTCCCAACTCGTAAATAAGGCAAACATTACTGCTCACAAATAATTTGAAGAGTCCGTTAATATTTCATTCTTTGATAAACACATGCACACTTCAGGAAACATATTTACTACGCCCACAGAAGAATAAACAAAGATGCGACTCACATTTCCCATCCACAAGCAACTCATTTTTCCCCAAATAAAATAGCCTGTTCAATGTAAAACTTAAGACGACGTACTACTCGCTGTCAAAGTTCACATCAGTACGTTCCTCTAACAACTTTTCTTCCTGCTCCTGTTCCAGAAGAGACGGCTTTATCAATTGCGCCCCCTGCCGCCTAGGAGGGCAACGTCGCTACCTTTTCATCAGATCCGCGTTAGAAAAAGAACTGATTGGTAGATCGTCTATTTTTCTAACGCGTTCCTTAAAAATAAGAAGCCGTCTGTTTCGAAATATAATATCGCATACAATATTTGAACTATAAGGGTTCCTTGGTGGAAAAATAAATCTGTTCCTGCAAATATACACATAATAGTCACGCTAATTAAAGATACTGTATTTGAGTGAAGGAACGACGAACTGAAAATATATGTTTTTTGATTGCATTACTCCAATTATTTTCCACTTGGAGCACAGTGCTGCTCTGGACCAGATATTAGGAACCTCCCTTCAAATCACACAAGTTGCAGCACTTAGAAGCAGGAATTAGAGGCGTTTTTCTTGCAGGAAAGTCTCAAATCGAGGTTTTGATGAGTGCGATTGTGGGTGAGCACGGCTTGTTTCATCAGTGCTCAGTAGGGGTGAGTGGAGATTACTCTAGGCAGAGAATATAATGGACTCAGCTCCCGTGTTCACGAGACAATGATCGAACCCCAGACCCTGACCGAGTAGAGTAGTTTATTGCCATATGCACAGGTACATTGGAATTCCTAATCGCGCTGATCTCTCTGGACAAACACAGTACAACAGACAACACGACACAATGTAGACAACAGGAACAATAAATATATTGCAGGTGCAGTTGTGTATTGAGTCTGAGGCCCACCGTTAGCTGTTGTTGAGGATGCGCACTGCAGTGGGATAGAAGCTGCTCTTGAGTCTAGTGGTCCTTGCTTTAACAGTGCAGTACTGCTTGCCAGAGGGTGGTGGGAGAGCAGTTTGTGGCCAGGATGGTTTGATTGGATCCTGAATGATGGATTGGGCTTTGTTGCGACAGCGGATGGTGTGGATCTCACCGATTGTTGCTAAATTGCATCTTATGATCCTCTGTGCCGTTGCCACAACCCTTTGTAGTGCATCTCTGTCATGCACGGTAGTACTGCTGTACCACACAGTGATGCCACTAGTGAGGACACTTTCTACGGTGCTGTAAGAACATAGGAGAAGTCACAAATGAGAGCAGACCATTGGGCCCATCTGTTAAAGATCCAAGGGTATCATCCAGCTGTTTCCTGAATGAAACAAATCCAACAGCATGGCAGCTTGTTCCACACTCCCACAAGTCTTTGTGTAAGGAAGTGCATGCTACTCTCGGTTCGAAATGCACGTACACGTAGCACAGGAACCAGGTGTGTCCTCTGGTTTGTGGTTCCCTGTTCATTCTGAAGAAATCCGCTGGTTTCTTTTGTGTTGGGTGCCTTTGGGGATATTTTTGGAACACCTGTATGGCTACAACATCTGCTTCTGGCAGACGAATGCTTAATCAAACAGAAAATGGGCTTCACCTTGTTCAGTTCTTTCCCCTTGAAGTATTTGCCGGATAAACAGCGCTTTGAACAGTGACGTGTGCAGATCATCTGGGCTCACCTACCATTACATCCTGACATCCATAACCACCTCATCCAATTCAGGGAGCCGGAGCCTATCCCAGCAAGCAATGGGCACAAGGGAAGGTACACACATAAATGCCCACACACCACAGTCAATTAACCAGAAGCCAATTAACCTACCCGTATATCTTTGGACTGTGGGAGGAAATACCTGCATGGCTCTTCCTGAGGACACCCTGTGTAGTTTCACTGTGATAATGTTGCATACTGATTGTTTGTGACCTGCTTTTTCTCATTTGTTGTTCTACACATTCCACAGTGCTTTGAGGTATCACTCTAGAAATGAATTTGATTTATAACCATAACCCTTCACGATCATCACTGAAAGAACAAGAGACCATATAGTGCCAAGCCAAAAAACGTTTATTGTTGTAAGAAAATATCATTCCAATCCGCTTTACAGACAAAATGCAATTTATCATTTGCAAAGAATTCGCTAGTATGCAGAGGTACCTTAGAAACATTCACTGTGCTGTTCCACCAGCACTCCCGTACAATGAGGTCATCACAAAACAACAGAAGTTTGTATACGTGCTCCTAAGCAGATGTGGTTCTGTATTTGGCAGATCCTTCTCCGTCTGGCACGGGCCGGTCCCTGGGAGGCAGGCCCGTCAGAAGAGCTTGTGCAGCAGCAGAGGAAAGAGAGTCCCGGCCAGCTGCAGGATCAGAGGGGCAGCCAGCGTGTCCGCTGCGCCTGTCGGCTGTCACGGAACAGCAAAAGACATCAAGTGCTGAGCTCCAAAAGCTCAGTGAACCTCCCCACCAACACACACACGCACAAACGCAGCACTGACGAATCGGACCGGTTCGATTCGATTCTCTCCTGCGCCGTCGTTGGGGGGGGGCCGAGTGAGGTCACGGCCCCAGAAACAATAAGGCGCTGTATCTCGGAAACGAAGGCTGCACGAACGCAGCGCTAACTAATTCGAGTTTCACCGTTTGTGCTGTTAGTACTGGGGAGCAACTTCACTGAGCTAACAAAACTATATGAAAGGGCAAGAATCATCAATAGAGTAAACCGGACAACTATAAATCGATAACGCCCCGTGTTCCACAAAGAAGCGCCACTGACACACGACACTCGTATACAGTATACACAGTGTCTAAGGGTAACATTCCCTGGTTTGCACTGAATTAAATAAATCATTCACAAATTAAAGTAAGCAGTGCTCTCTAGCACTTTTTATGATTCGTATGCTATGTATCTCTACGACACTGCTACAGTATATATAACACAGTCCGAGTGTAACAATCTCTGGTGTGCACTGAATTAAAACAATCATTCATTTAATAAATATAATGCTTATTAAAACAGGATGTTTTCTTCACTTCGGCTCCATATTCCTTCACCAAATATTAGTTTCACAACAAGGCCTACCTTTTCGCTAGAGGTTCTCTGAAAATAAGAATGAAAAAATAATAATGTTAATGGAGATACTGTGAAAAGTTTTTTTTTTTTAAACTTGGAAGTTGTCAGCTGTTATGAAACAGAGAACTACAACGTCTTAAAAACGACACTTTATTAAACAATATTAATATTATTTCATTAGCTGACCATCTTCCGTTTACTCCGCCCACACGCAAACAGGCAACTTCAACACCAGGACAGCTCAGAGCTAAAAAAGCTTCAAAGCCTGACGGCTACAAACTGATTACGGCTCAAAACGCCCGAAGTTTCGAAGAGAAACGTAATCCGTACCACTGCTGTCATGACACTGGTATATACAGAGCCCAAATCTAATAATTCACTGGTTTGCACTGATGGATTAATACCCTCATTCATTGTTTCCTTTTTTTTAATTGTATAATGTTAGCATGCCCAAAGGGGTTGGGCATCCAGTTGACTTTGGACCCCTAGAGGTTTTTTTTTTCTCTTTACTAAGGTTTTTGGTTCCTCCCCTCTGTTGTCTTCTGGTCTTTTCTGTTCTGTATTCACACCATGTATGGTCACTTGCTTTGTTAAGCGCCTTGGGGCAACCTTGTTATGAAAGGTGCTATATAAAAATAAATTGAATTTAATTGGAAAAAAAATACATTGTAGTTTATATATTGCTTATTCAATAAATACAACACAGGACATTTCCTTTACTCTGGCTCCTTATTTCTTAATCAAATATTACATTTTAGTTTCACAACAGACCTTGGATTATCTAAAAATAAGTATAAAAAATAATGTTAAATTGGGATGCTGAGAAAAATAAACTGTTAAAAAAAGTTGAAAAGCTGTTATGAATCATAATTCAAAATTCCTTAAATTTAAAATAATTTGCTTCTAAGTAGTGCGAGTTAGTAAATTTTATTTTTTAAACTAAATTTCTCTGGGATTTATTTAAACGTGAAACAACGGGTAGCAAACGCTTTGCGACTTTATCTTTTAAAGGCGCATAGAAAATATATATTTACTACTATTTACACCCACAGAAACAGGCAGCAGGAAAGACGAATTCTAAACACCACAGACGAGAAAACCCAAGAAATCAATTTATACATACGTTTGGTTGTTTTTCATGATTTGTATTTGCTGTTACCTGTAAAAGGTAAAAAAAATCAAGATAAATTCAAACTGAAAAGTATGTTTCTATAGTGTTCATCTGAAAAAAATCGCTGCTGCCATGTACCGAAAGACATTCTTATTCATTATTATTATTATTATTATTATTATTATTATTATTATTATTATTATTATTAAAAGAGAAGACGGTAAAATAAGTCACCGCTAGACACGCAGTAACTTTGCGTTGAATCCAACACTTGATCCGAAACACAAGAACCTGTTTCTCGTTAATCACACGAAGTTACAGATAGATATTGATGTTTTTTTTCTGAAACAAAAAGGGAGCCAGCTCTCGGAACACCCGCTATTTGCTGATATTGAGCAGGCGAATAAACACGATTTTGCACGGAAGCACACGGAGTAAATGTTGGCACATTTAACTTGACTTTACACATTGTTCACATTTCTAACCACGCATATTAACATGCGGAGTCTTTGGATTATATTCTAAATGCACCACAGAACTAGACAATACCAGAGGTGTAAAGTAACACTATACCAAAACTATTTAAATACTTTCTCTAAAGAAAATACAAATATTGGCTAACTGTCTACACGGCTAAAGCATTTTTACCTCCACAACAGCCAATAATACCATCAACGACACAAAAACGAAGAAAACCAAACGTCGGCTCATGGTGAAACGATGTCTGCTCTCCGAGGACTGTTAATAATGATGTTCTGTTATCTGTTTTCCCGCTGAGCGCTTTTGCTCTGCAGGAAGGGTGTATCGTGTGACGTGATCTCACAGGTTTGAGCGCTCGGTCGCTTATTTTGCTAGCACGTGTAAAAAAAGCAGAAATAAAAACTGAAACGTTTTTATTGAGGTGATGATGGAAGCATGGAAGGATGCAAATACGGTATAAAGACAAACATCTGTCCACTTAGCGAAGTTCTGAGCAATGTAAAATTGCAAAAGCACCGAGAAATGTGTTCTGCCAGGCTTAGTCTTTTTGAGGTGGTGACCATGCCTGTTAATTTTTTTAAAGAAAAAAATTGTTCTGAACACAAAATTACTCCGGTGAGGAATTTGTGCCGTAGAATTCGCAGATAAATAAAATAAATATTTTTTTTCGAAAAAAAAAATGACTGACATGCTGTAAAAGAAAACAAAGTTTAACTGCGTGGACAGTGTATGCATCCTGTACAACGTCTTTGATTGAAAGCAATATTTTCTGTCACGCTGCCATCGTTAAGAATCACAGTGTTTCATTAGAAAATACTGTTGTTATTTAAGGTTGTTGGGTGTGCTGGAACTGTTATTTAAGGTTGTTGGGTGTGTTGGAACTCCATTTTAACTGGTCTTATTAACATGACCTCTGGAACAATTAACTACTAAGCTTGGCACGTGTCACTCAAAAAATACAAGAACTATAATCAAATTTAAAAACAAGTAAGCTCTACCGTCAACAATCACGACAGAACATAAAACAGCATTCGAACTTAAAATATTGTATCGACCGCGGTACGAAATGGAGGAGGCGTGGGACTCAGGGAATGGGGCTGAACAACACATTTATTAACTCGATTCAGGAAAGGTACACACTCAAGGACAGGGGTTACAGCGGTGCACCTACACTAACACACACACGAAGGGAAGAGACTGTATCTCAGCCTCCGTCCCACTATATACAGTCCGGTAGTCCCCAGGTGCTGTTCTCAGCCCGCTCTGCGTGGCGCTACATTGTAATACATGTAACATGTTTCACGTTCTTTATGGAATTTAAATACAGTTTAAACCCCACCCCAAAAGTACTACAAGAGGGAGTATTATTAAAACATTTGACTTATGAATATGACATTTACCCAAGATGACTAATAAATTCCTTACTGTATAAATAAATGTTCTTTTTTCGAATTTCCTCTTATATAGGACAACAAAATATCAAAAGCCTTCATATAAAATCTTAGTATTCTATATTTCCAGAGAATTCCCATGACGTGAATTGACTGTGCTCTGCCTGGCGATCTCTGTCGCTAAGGTTGGCGCGAGAGGTAGCCAGTTTAAGAAGCACAGTGATTAACGAGTGGGTCGGGGAGCACGTAGATTACGAAGGATTTAACGTGCTACTTTAGTTACGATAGGTTTTGGGAAACACTCGTAAATTAAGGATCGATCTTAAGAGCAAGTTTACGATGTTCTTAGCGCTACGATGCTTTCGGGAAACTCACCCCTGCCTGACATCAGCTAAATGCAATTAAAAAAAACATAAGAATTACGTATGATCGTAATGTTGGTGGTTTTTAAACCAGGACTTTGCCTCTTAGGCTACAGTTAGCGAAGGACGCCACAGCATGCTCAACTGCTCACTTCTGTGCATGATTTTATCTTAGTTGAAGACATGCACCTGAGTGTGGAGGAAAAGGCGTCAGAAGTGTAAACGCTCACAACACATTTTTGCCACAATAAATGCACTGCCTGCTAGTGTTTGAATTCTTTGAAGCTTCGTGCATCGAGATGAACCTATCTTGTGTGTGACTTCTCAGAAGTGTTCATGTTCTTGCTAGCGTGACGGAGCGAAGGGCTGTGTGAGTCTTTAGCTGGCTGCTTTTAGTGTATTTTACGGCAGAAGCTATCTGCTATTGCACTCTTCCCGTTCCTGTCAAATTTGAATTAATCAAAAAGTTTTCTTCATGAGACAAATTAGGACATTTTAAGGGAATCAGTCCAACCATAAAGGAAGCCAGAAAGATTTCTCCAGAAAACTTCTGTCGCTCAAGATATTGTTAAGGTGGCGTGGTCGGAGCAAGATGTGGTCAATCAAGGAACATGAAATGTAGTAAATTATTGGAAATATTATCACTCAATCAATCAATTATCATCGTCATTTTCTTAGCCTTTAGGGTCGCGGGGGAGCCGGAGCCTAAACCGTCAACCGGAGGCTGAAATGTAATGTTTTATTCTATTACAGAAAATGTAATATGTATTTTGCAAAGTAATAAAGGATAATGCTTGTATTATTATTATTATTATTATTATTATTATTATTATTATTATTATTATTATCGGTGGTGTAGTTTTACTGCATTTTGATTTAATAGAACACAACACATGTAACCTTCTGGCTATATTCTACACATTTTGGACTGCAGCAAAGACGTTGAGGCTTCTATGCATGTTGTACGTGATCCAGTTCTAAAAAAAGAAATACAATGAGCAAAATTGCGCTTATCTAGTTCTTTTCCCATTGAACTCTCCCAGTATCCCACAAGTCTTCGGGCGGCAGTGTTGAGGTCAGACATCAGTGCGCTTCGGCCAATCGCAAACCACAGCCTGGATTGCCAATGGCAACCGACATCAAACAATTCCGCCTGGAAACGAACTCGCAAAACCAGGAGAGGTAATTCTGATATGAAAGTACTGCTGACAAATGATGTGCACTGTTGTCTAAAAAAAAAACGGTAACAAACGCTGTTTTTTTGTATTTGAAAAATAATACTTGTAAAGCGCGATCTCTCTGATCCTCAATAGTATACAAATTAGTTTCGCCTTTTTCAAATGTAACATTTATTCTGCGCTATGAATTGATGTGTGTATTTCATTTGCATAACAGTCACATAGTAATATTGGTGCTCTCCTTCTCCAACGGGTCACTCAGTCATATAAATGTCTTTAGATATTGTGTCATTATGTGAATATCCGGAATTATAGCCTATATTGATATACGTCGCTTTTATCCAAAGTGACTTACCCAAAATAATAAAAAATATGACATAATCGCTAGAACTGTGAACAGGCACCTGATTTGGCCAAGCATATAAAGCTATAGTGTATAAGCATGCTCTTGCATTAACTTTTAAAATGAGAGATTTAGTTCACACTATAAGGTGAGTGTAATAATTAACAGATGAGTGAGATAATGTGATGAATAAGAGAATAATAGACATACTCAGTAGTTAAACGTTCATAATGAACAGAGGTATTTAGTTGGGATTCCTAATAATGGATCTGGAAACACAAACTGCAGTTGGTTCATTCCTGATGACCTTAATTACTTAATTAAGTAATGAAGTCTTAACTACAAAACTGCTAAAACAAGTTGAAAGTTTTGAATTTATTTTTTCTTATGAAATGCAATAGACATAAGACAACCCAAACATGTTCAAGATCTTAAAACAGTCAGACATTTCAAGTTAATCCTATCTTCAAGACAACTTTAGGAGTCAGATAATTGGGATTCAATTGTGTAAATGAGAGTTTGGTTTGAGCAAAGCTGTAACAGGCTTTGGGCCTATGGGGAATCTGTAAATTAGAGAACAAATGTTCAGATAGGCTGTATTTATTTGACAGCAGCATCTCTGAAATCTGTTGTGCTCACAGAGTGATTTTGTGTGTATTTGTTTTCTCCAACTGTGAAAGATGAGCTCTCCTCTCTCTACACTGAGAAAGAACAGAAGAACACCTCTACCTGAGTCACAGAACAATGGGTAAATAAAAAACAGTTTAATATAATTATACTTTGCTGTCACAGATGTTTTCTTGAAATATTGCACAACTGCTACTGTACATCTGTTATTTCAATTTACTGTTTATCAATGTACTAACCTTAACAAAACATTTCTGTAAAACAAACTAAGTTGCTATAAAGAAGACATCTGTCTTTGATTGTATCAGTGGTGTATAATTTTACTGCTGTTTCTTTTATTAGTGATATTTGGTGTTAGCTGTGTGTTTGTGTGCTGTTTTTAATTTCTGTTAACTTGTGTTCCCACAGAAGAAGAGCAGTGCCATTTAAAAAAACTCCCTATACAGGCAAGTAGTCCCACATCTTCCTGCATTTACTACACAGTGGTACAAATTGCATGCATCATTCTGCTGTGTGTAAACTAACACATAACAGGTTTTGTCATGATAGGAAAAACCTACAGTACCCTTTTCATCGCAGTATCTTTCACAGCTTTACACATCGATTTGCAAGATCAGTGTAAGATTGAGAAACACAGGACTAATTATAGCAAATGCTTTTTTTTCATATCATTTTTTGAGATAGACCTAATATGAAAAACAGCTCATACACTGACTGCTTCCATAGTATTTTAATTATTTAAAAAAGAATTGTTCTTATTGCATACATTTTCTACAGTGCAGTGTGGACAGCATAGTGATATGGCAGTTAATATGCTGTCTTGCAACTCTGCAGTATCCTTTATTGGGTTCTGGGCTGGGGGTACCTTCTGTGCGGACTTTGTATGCCCTTGCCATGTTCACTTGGGTTTTTTGGGGTACTCTAGTTTCCAACCACCTCTCAAATACATGCTGGCGGGCTTCTTGGCAGCCTTAAATTGCCCCTTCCTTGATGAGCAGGAATGGGGCCCCTCCTTCATGAACCCTATCTGTCCAGAGGAGTGTATTTGGAGAAGGTTCTGGTGATGAAGAATACATAATTTCTTCAACGTTGCTGCTACAGTATATGAGACAGAGTGGGGCTTAGCTTTTGATATACAGTAGCTGCATGTCGTTATGGTGTGGTTTTCCTACTGAGTCTTTCTTGATTGTGTTTGTCCTTCACTTGTAACAGTTTTGATTTAGAAAAAGTTTCTGTTTCTGTTCTGGGTTCTGCTTGCCGGACTTAATTTTAAACATTAAATACTA